GGGGCTGTTAAGGGGACATGGGGGTGTGCAGGGGGCTGTGGGGATCCTAAGGGAGTCCAGGAGAGGGTTATGGGTGCCGTGATGCCCTGAGGTGGTTCCTGAGGCGGAGATGAGGGGGAAGTGGAGCCACCCTTGCCTGTGCCCGTGGGGAGTCCCCAACCCCCCCGATTGTGATTTATGAAGCTAATTGTTTTTTCTGCCTCATTAAGTGGAGGAGAAGGGGAGGGAGGGAAGAGCCCCAGCTGTACCCGTGCTTTCCTCACCAGTCCTGCCAGAGCAGCACGAGGCTGTGATGGGGGGCAGTGATGGGGGGCACATCCACAGAGCCCCCTTGGTGCCAGTGACCCACTGAGGTGGGGTGTGGAGACCCCCCCCGTGCAAGCCCTGTATTTCCTCCCCTGGCGCCACCAGGGCAGAGCAGGAGGAGAGGGCTGGGGCAGAGCAAGAGGGGCTCGCTGCAGGGTGGGCTTCAGGCAGGTGGTGGGGGTTCGGCAGCACCAGCCTGTCAGGGACGTGAGTGCTGGGAGCCCTGGCTCGTGCCCGCGGGTCCGTCTGGCACAGGTGTCTGCTGGTGGGAGATGGGTGGAGCAGGGAGACCTGGAACCCTCCAGCTCCAACAGCAGCTGCTGCTGGGAAGGGGCTGGGGGTGCCCCTCTGCGCAGGGTCTGTGCTGCTGCTGGTGGCTGCTGTGGCCGACAGCGATTCTCTGCCATCATCTCGCACCAGACCTGCCGGGGTTGAAGCTGCCTTTGCCGCTGTGCCAGGCTGGCTCCCCCCGCCACCCCGGATGCCCTGAGTCCAGATCTGGGCCCAGAGAAAGCCAGAGCTGCTCCTCCGATGGCTGCCCGAGCTGGCCATGGTGGGGCCGGGGCAGGCGGCCAGGAGAAGGGGAGGGAGGGGACGGCGTCTGGCATCGTGCCAGGCCGGAGGGACGGCGGGGATGCGATGCCGGACAGGCTGTGCCGCCGCACCCATTGGCACACACCGACGTGGGGCCATCGCCCCGCAGCAGGGCCTGCGGGAGATACCGCACGCCTGGGCCTGAGCCCCCGCCGAGGGCTGGGGGATGCTGCGGGGATGGCGGGTGCGGGCAGGGTCTCATCGGTGGGGACAGGGACGCTGGCTCCGAAGTCAGGGGTCCGTGGTCCTCCCTGCCAAGCCGTGCCGAGCCGTGCCATGCCGAGCTGTGCCGCGGCACCTTGCCTGGCCGGGGCGAGCACCGGGGCCGGGGCTGCGCAGGGAGGAGGGAGCCGAGAGAGACTGCAGTTGCCGCCGGGAGAGGCTTGAGGAAGGAATTACTTATTTCCCAGCCGCAGGGACCGGGTCTGTTTCTCCGGGGCTGCAGTTAACCCTCTCTGCCCGCCGCGGCCAAACCGACAGAGGTGTCCCCGGTGTTACCGGCACCCTGGGGTGCAGGTCGTGTTCTGATACCAGAGAGAGACAAAAAAAGTCAGAAATAGGCTTTTTGGTCGATTAAGCACAGGGCCGTGTGGGTGCGGGTGCCCTCGCAGGAGCTGGGGTCACTGGGAGCAGCTGCCCTTGCACCCCGTGGGGCTGCGCAGGGGCAGAGCCCCCCATGGGACCCACGGCGGGAGGTGGTGCCTTTGAGGGGGGCTTGGGGGGCGCTGGGGTCAGGTGTGGGGCACTGAGGCCAGGCTGAGGGATAGCCTGGGGGCAACTGATGCCAAATTACGGGCTGGACTCGGGGGCACTGGAGCTGCCTGTGGGAATGTGAATGGGGGTTTGGGGTCTCGGGGGGGTGGGAGCCTGGGCTGAGACTGGGGGGATGTTCGGCTGAGGGACACCAGG